AGTTTACGTTTTTTCAATACCAGCTGCAATTAGCTGGAACTTTATGTGTCCAAATGTTGGTGTCAGATTTCTTGTACAGTCCATGAATCCATCTCACCCACAAAGCTTCTTTGTCATTTATCAGTTGCCATAGTAGCTTCCCCACAGCAGCAACATTTCATAGTTTATTTCCCTTCACATTCAGGGCTCCATACTTCTTAGGAGAGCAGATTCTTTCCTATGCTACTAGAGCTAGTTTCTTCTTCTCTTCTGTACTGCCCCATAAGTATTCCCTACATATTTTATCCACCTCCTTCACTACACTTTGAGGTAGAATGAATACTGCACTCCAAAAGTTGTATATAAAAAATAACACTGAGTTTATCACTTGTAATCTGCCAGCATATAAAAGTTGTCCAGAATAAACATTTTTTATCCTACTGGTTATCATGTCCACAAGTTGAAGGCAGTCCAGTTTATTCCATTTCTTTAATGAAAGAGGAAGTTCAAGATATCTTATTGGAAAGGTTCTTTCTATGAATCCAGTTGTAGCTAATAATTGACCCTTTGTAGCATCATCTACCCCAACTATAAATATTCTTGACTTATCCAAATTTGCAACTAGCCGTAACACTTCACTGAAGTGATTAAGTACTTCAACCACCCTTGTTACTGAAGGTAGATTACCTTTGCAGAATATCATGAGATCGTCAGCAAATATCAAGTGAGTCAGTTTCAAAGTTTTACACATGGGGTGAAATTGGAAATCTGGAAGATTGCTCATAGTCTTCATGACTCTTGAAAGGTATTCCATCACTAACACAAAGAGTAGGGGAGACATAGGATCCCCTCCCTTAGTGCCCTTTTTCCTTCAAAATTTCCACGTCCTTCCCCATTCACTTTAATGGAGAATTTGTGCGATGTCACACACACTTACTAGTTGACTGAACCTCTCTGGAAACCTAAATCCAGTCAATACCTCCCCTAAGAATCCCCAATCCACAATGTCACAAGCCTTTCTAAGATCAATTTTCATAAGACATATAACAGATGTCTTTCTATTATCCATGTCCTTCCCCATTCACTTTAATGGAGAATTTGGGCGATGTCACACACACTTAATAGTTGACTGAACCTCTCTGGAAACCTAAATCCAGTCAATACCTCCTCTAAAAATCCCCCATCCACAATATCATAAGCCTTTCTAAGATCAATCTTCATAAGACATCTAGCAGAGGTCTTTCTATTATAATGCCTCAGGAGATCATGACAAATTCGCACATTGTGCATCATGGATCTCCCTAGAGAAGTATAGACATTTCCTTAGGAAGAACCTAGATCCATATGGATTTACTAGGAAAGTCCTTGGAATCTTCTAGGCTTATAGAGAATTCTAGAGAAAGCACTTATCTTGTAAATATTAAGGACTTGTGTAATAATTATTATTTACATACTAGCCCCTAGGAGACTAGTATATAAAAGGGACCATTCATTTGTAATTCAGTAAGCAACCAATTCAAGTTCTCACTAATACAAAGCTTTCTTTAGCAATTTTCTTGTGTTCTTTCTAGCATTCCCTTAGCGATCTTGAGTGTAGTAAGACTGACTTGGCATAGCAAGAACGTAAGTAAGTTGCAAGATCGTGAGTGAGTTGTCAAGTGTCACACGTGTACTTAGTTAATTACTAAGGATGTGACAATGTGGTATCAGAGCAAAGGTTGCAACTAAGGGAATAGCGAACGATAGAGAAATTAATGTTGCCAACACCCAGGCCAACGTCATCCAGGATGCTACTGGAAAGAGCGACCGTAACAAAAAGAAGAATGCCACCAACAAGAGCCAGGAGGTGCCAACCGAGGTTGTGTCAAATGAAGGGCTTACATCCCAAGAACCATCTGCCATTGAGGCAAGCGAGGATGAAGTGGAGGTCCTGCGTGAGGACGTCTCGCTCGGCAAAGAGTTGGCGATGAAGATGAATGCAGAGATGGACGATGTGGAGATCTTTGGCCAACGCTTGGGGAGGATGGAAGGCACCCTTAGCGTTCTTGAGGGGCACACTCTTAAAGGAATTGAGAGTATCCGAAATGACTTGGAGGGACGTACACAGACTGAGATGGAACTAAAGCAAACCATCATTGCCTTAGAGTGCAGACTCATGGAGGCTTTGAGTACTATCGATGGTATGAAGGCAAAGATAGAGTCACTCGAGGAGCATGTCAATGTTGGTGTGACCGAGGCAGCTAGAAATGTTGTAGTAATTAGGGAGGCCAAGATCGAGGCTCCTAAACGCCTAGTGTTAAAAGTTGTTCATGATGCACAAGAAGTGGAGAACTTCATTTGGCACTTGGAGAACTACTTCAGGCACGGAAAAGTGAAGGACGACAAGGCCAAGATCAACACTACCGTGGTGTACCTCTCAGAGACTGCCATGCTATGGTGGAGAAGGAAGATAGCCAACGTAGATAAAGGTCTATGTACTATTAGCACGTGGGATCAGTTCAAAGCCGAGTTCAAGTGACCGTTCTTTCCAAATAATGTCTTGTACGAGGAAAGGCGCAAGCTTAGGGAGTTGAAACAAACGGGGAGCATACATGACTATGTCAAGCACTTCACTACCCTTATGCTTCAAATTCCCAACCTAACCAATGACGACTTGTTGTTCCACTTCATGGACGGGTTGCAAAATTGGGCTAAACAAAAGTTACAACGTCGGCAAGTCGCGGATATAGACCAAGCCATAGTGGAGGTTGAATCATTGATGGATTTCAGGCATGACAAGCACGACAAAGACAAAGGCAAGGAGTTAAAGGTTAGCTATGTTAAAGGTAGGGGAGACTGTGGCAAAGGTAGGGGAGACTGATGTGCCATGAAATTTTGGCATAATTGGTACCAATTGCTTAGATTTAACTTGTCTTTTAATGTATTTGAAGTTAATTCTGATCAAGTTTGGTTGTTTTGTAGTGCACGAGATTGAATACCCAAAAACATGGAAAAGAAGTCAAAAAGTCACAAAAAGACAGATATGTTGCTAGCATGCAGTCGCATAACTCATATGCGGACCGCACAATCTACCTGCTGATCGCAAATAGAGACAGTCTTTTGGGTCAACTGAAGAAGCAAATATGCGGTCCATTATGCGGTCACATAGCACATATGCGAGCCGCATAATGGTCGCATAACCACCATAGAAGGCAGCCCACAACATGATATAAGATGGTATATGCGGTCGCATAACACATATGCGGACTGCATAACCATTATGCGACTGAAGTCAGATCTGAGATTCAGCAAGTCTGCGACGGAGTGCTCAATATGCGGTCCGCATAAATGGTATACGACCAGTATGCGGTCGCATAAGCTGTCTGAAAGGATATTTTTGTCCGATTTTAACTACGACTTTTGGTCCACTATAAAAAGAATAACAAGCCTTTTTGTGGGGTATTCAAGTCTGAAAGAAGGTCCTACTTAGAGAGTATTAAATACTCTATTTATTTGGAGGTTTGTGAAGAAAGAGTCTTGTAAGCTTTATGGCTTTATTAAATACTTTGTTCTTGTATTTTAGTATGAGTAGCTAGTTTTAAATACTAAGGTTGTGGACCCTAGATGAGTGTAATGCTAACGAGTGTTTAACATTGAATATATATATATATATAATGATTGGTTGATATTTATTCAATTCTTGTTCTTTATTTATGGTTGGTGGTTGCAAACATTAATCTATTCCATTTTACTCTTTCTTTACTTGGAAAAGTGAGTTAGGGTTTGGTAGAATGGAATATCAAGAACTCAAGACGTTAACTCTTGTTTAATAGAATCACTTAGGAATAAGTGGGTTCTATTTGGCATAAATTGATTATTCTTTATTTGCAACTCTTTTATATTTGGAAAAATCATAAAGGGAAATACTACTCAACTATTGGAAAGTATTGGGTAGTCATTTAGAAATCATTTTCATATCAAAGAACCTTCCATTAAAATATATCATATTAACACCGAAAACATTCCATTCCATTAATGGGGACACAACCCTGGTTTCCATAATCAAATCATTTACATTCTCAAAGTTACAATTAGTTATCTATTCAATTCACAATCATATCATTCGCTTGTTATATTAACGAAATAGAATTATGACCTAAGTAAAGTAGCACACTACTCAAGTAACCTTTTTACGCCTATTCCATGTGGGATTCAACCCCAACCTTGTTGGGTTACTATATTTGACACTGACCGCCTTACATAATTTAATTAAAGTGTAATTTGAACATATCAAAGTTTGTCGCCGCTGCCGGGGAATGCGGTTTTGAAATTACTAATTAGTGTGTGCTTTACTTTATGTCTTATTCTATTCCATTACACTTTGCTTTTTTTGCTTGGAGTTGATAGGAAGACATGGTCGAATATGAGGAAGAAATGGAAAAAAATCCTTTTGCGAACATAGATTAGTACATTGAGGATACAAATGCCATTGTACCTCCGGTTGTTGGTGCTGCAACTTTCCAGGTGGAACATGGCTTAATCCTAATGCTAAAAGCGGAGGGGTTTTTCAGGAATTCCACTAATGATGAACTGACACAACATCTTAGAAGCTTCTTGGGTGTGTGTGCGATGCATAAGAAGAACAATGTCTCAGATGATGACCTAAGGTTGTGGGTGTTCAAGTACTCACTAGCTGGGGACGCAAGAAAATGGCTTCAAAATATGCCACCAAATTCCATTCATTCTTGGCCTGAACTTGTCCGAGCATTCTTAGCTAAATGGTTCTCGCAAAGTAAGAAATCTGAGCTCCAGGATAAAATTTTCTTTTTCAAGCAAGTACCAAGAGAACATCTACATGAGGAATGGGATCGATTCAAGTTATATTTGTTTGAGGTCTCCCAATCACGGTTTTCCAAATTCTATCTTATTGGAGAAATTCTACATGGGTTTAGATGTTATGAACCAATCTATAGCCAAGAATGCTAGTTGATGGATTTTTTATGGATAAGACATTCGCAAGGATCACACAAATCCTTGACAAAATGGCAAAAAAAAATCAAGCTTGGCACTTAGAGGACACCACAAGTGGAATTGCATATGGTTCTCCCTCCTTGACCAACATGATTAAGGAGAACCAAGAAAGAGATCAAGTAATTGCAGGGCTTGCCACCAATGTCAATGTGTTGACAAAAATGTTCAGTGAAAGCCAAACGAAGAAGGTAAATGTGGTGGAAGATGTTCAACCATCATCAAGTGAAGATTATGAGGAAGCCAACTATGTCAAAAACTCTCAAGGAGGATATCAAAGGCAACAATACCAAAGTCAAGGACAACAAAATCAATGGAGGCCTAACCCGCGAGGGCAAGGCAACCAACAATGGCGAAATGACCAAGGTAGCTTAAATCAAGGAAATTGGAATAATAACAACAACAACTTCTCAAATCGGAGTTCAAACCCTTATGTTCCACCAAAGGGTCAATATTCAAATCAAGGTTCTTCAAGTGATTCCAAGTTGGAAAGCATGCTTGAACGGGCATTGCAAAATCAAGAGAGGTCCGACACTTCTATGAGGAATATGACCGAGCTTGTTGGTTCGCATACCGCATCCATTCAAAAATTAGAGATGCAAATGAGAGATCTTTCTAGAGAACAAAATCCGAAGCAAAAAGGGACACTTCCAAGTGACACAATTGTGAACCCAAAGGGTAGTGGGAGTGGTCCAACTTCTCATTTCATGGCAATTACTATTCGGAGTGGGAAGGTACTTCAAGGAGAGAACGAACAAGTAGTTGAAGTAGAAGAGTCCGAACAAGAGGTTGAGGTTGAATAGCCAAGTGTTGTTGAAGTTGAAAAGGTTCCGGAAGAGTTGAAAGTTCAAGAAGTGAATCGGGAAGAGGTAAAGGAAAAGGTAAAAGAGACACCAAAAGGTCTACCACCTATTTCTAGACCTCCTCCTCCTTTTCCTCAAAGACATGCTAGGAAGGTTGATGATAGAAAACTCGAAATGTTCCATGACATTCTCAAGCAGTTATCGGTGAATATTCCATTTGTGGAAGCATTTCAAGAGATGCCGGGTTTTGCTAAGTATTTAAAAGACTTGATTACCAAGAAGAGAACCACCAAAAATGAAGTAGTGAATGTGACTCACGGGGTTAGTTCCATCATTGCAACAACCACCGTTCAAAAGAAAGAAGACCCGGGAGCTTTCACCATTCCATGTACTATTGGGGCATATGATTTTGCAAGAGCGCTTTGTGATAATGGAGCTAGCATTAACTTAATGCCTCTTGCTATTTACAAGAAAGCGAGGTTAGGTATGCCGAGGCCCACAAGTATGAGGTTGCAAATGGCCGATCGTTCCATAAAGAGACCGGTGGGAATTGTCGATGATGTGATTGTGAAAGTGGGAGAGTTCCATCTACCCTCCGATTTCTTAATACTTGATTGTGCAGTTGACAAAGAGATCCCTATCATCTTGGGGAGACCATTCCTTGCCACATGAAGAGCACTAATGGATTCGGAACGGAATGAGATCAAATTCCATGTAAATGATGAAGAGGTTACATTCCAAGCAAGCAAGGGTATGTAACTACCACATGAGTATGAAAGCATCTCGGTGATTGATGTTGTTGATAAAGTGGAAGATGCGGTTGAAATAAATATGGAATAACAATGCCTCGGTGAGGCGTTGGCGGCTATTTTGGTAAACTTCAACGGTGAAGATATGGAGGGGTATATGGAATTAGTCAATGCATTGGAAGGGCTTGGGTCCTACACTTATGCTCCGAAGAAGCTCTCTTCGACTTGGAGAATAGAGCCACTCCTTCAGCAAAGCCTTCTATTATTGAGCCACCACAACTAGAGCTCAAACCACTTCCACCACACTTGAGGTATAAATTTCTTGGGTCAAATGATACTCTACCAGTAATTGTGTCTTCTTTATTGAATGATGTGCAGGTAGAACAATTGTTGAATGTCTTGAAGGAGCATAGGCAAGCTATTGGGTGGACAATTGCAGACATCTGAGGGATTCCTGTCGGAATTTACAAACACAAGATTCGATTGGAGAATAAGAGTACACCAAGTGTGGAGCATCAACGAAGGTGGACCCTTCCATGCAGGAGGTGGTAAAGAAAGAAATCATCAAGTGGTTGAATGCTGGAGTAGTCTACCCCATTGCCGATAGTTCTTGGGTAAGTTCAGTACAATCTGTGCCGAAAAAGGGAGGCATGACTGTGATTGAAAATGATAAAAATGAGCTCATCCCAACAAGAACGGTGACCGGATGGAGGGTGTGTATGGATTACAAGAAGCTAAATAGTTCTACGTGCAAGGACCATTTCCCTTTGCCTTTTATTGATCAAATGCTTGATCGGCTAGTGGGAAGGTTATTCTACTGCTTCTTGGATGGATACTCCGGCTACAACCAAATAAATATTGGATTAGAAGATCAGGAAAATACAACATTCACTTGTCCATATGGGACGTTTGCATTTGGCCGGATGTCATTTGGGCTATGCAACGCTTCGAATACTTTCCAAAGGTGTATTATGTCAATATTCTCCGATATTGTGGAGGATTTCTTAGAGGTATTCATGGACGATTTCTCGGTCGTAGGTGATTCTTTGGAGCATTGTCTAGACAACCTTAGACAAGTGCTTAAGAGATGTGAAGAAACAAACCTTGTGCTAAATTGGGAGAATGCCACTTCATGGTGGACGAGGGCATTGTTTTGGGCCACAAAATTTCCAAACAAGGCATAGAGGTTGATCGGGCAAAGATCGAGATCATTTCCAAGCTTCCTCCACCTACTTCAGTTAAAGGTGTCCGAATTTTTTTGGGGCATGCTGGCTTCTTTAGGCGTTTCATCAAGGACTTTTCTAAAATTGCAAATCCCATGTGCAAACTCCTTGACAAAGATGTAAAATTTGTGTTTGACGAGAAATGCCTTGAAGCCTTTGAGGAATTGAAACAAAAGCTCACTATGACACCTATTATTGTCACACCCGATTGGCCTATTCCATTCGAACTTATGTGTGACACCAGTGGTATAGCTATCTGGGCAGTGCTTGGCCAACATCATAACAAGGTTCTTTACCTGGTCTATTATGCAAGCAAGACACTCAATGGCGTGCAAATGAATTATACGGTGATTGAGCAAGAACTTCTTGCCATTGTCTATGCCATTGAGATATTCCGGGCTTATTTGTTGGGATCCAAGGTGATAGTGTACACAGACCATGCTGCTCTTTGCTATCTTATGGTAAAGAAGGATGCAAAACCTAGGTTGATTCGGTGGGTCCTGTTGTTGCAAGAGTTTGACTTCGAAGAGCAGGGTGCTGACACATCTGTCTCAGGCATTGATATTGACTTACAACATTGATGACAACCCTAGAGGCACAGCATGTTGAGGCCTCCAAGTCTCAGTCTCATCTTGCTCATATTGATGTTCCTTCAGATGAGGAATCTGGAGATACTGAGGAGTCCGATGAGGTGGGGTCAGGAGATGAGGAGACGGATGAAGAAGCACTGGGTGAGGACACTGAGGGTCAGCAAGACAAAGGTAAATAGGTTGTTGTCTATACAAGGGTAGATGGAGAAGAAGAAGCAGCTGTGCAGATAACCATTAAACATTCGCTAGAAGATATAGTCGGCAAGGCATATCCATCGATCACTCAGCCATCACAGGGCAAGGCTAGCAACTCCCAGGCCCCAACTCCAGCTTCACAGTAGGTAGAGCTACCTACTTTACCTTCACAGCAGCTGGAGCCTCTTGCTCCAGCCATGGCGGATACTGCTCAGTCCGAGGCTTCACCAGCTATAGTGTCACTATCTGCATCTGCTCCCACAGAGGTCCCAGATCCTTTAGCTTCCCTGAGCGCCTAGTGCGCCCCAGGAAGCCCTGAGCTCTCTTTTTGCTTTATTTTTGCATTGGGGACAACGCATGATCTTTGGTTGAGGGTACGGTAGTTATGATCATAATCGTGTACCATGTTTTGTAGTATTTTGTTGTACCCCATGTGTATATATATAACTCTTGTATCCCATGTGTGTATATAAAACTCTTGTACCGATGTTTGTATATATAAAACTATTGTAGTTTAGCAATGAATTCCCTTTGGTTTTTCTTCGTCAGGTTCTTTTCCAAAGGTGTAATAGTAGAACCATGGAAGTAGCATGAAATGTTTTGACTTAGTTAGTGTTGACTGTGTAGCTCCATGCATGTGCTAAGTGTTGTAAATATATGATACCCTTCCTTCTTTTGAATCTAAAAAAACAAAAAAAAAATATAATCATTCTTGTGAATTTGAGGCTCGCTCTTTGACTTTATGCTTATTCAGAATCCTACATGTGTTGAAGATGAAAGTGTTAAGTTGTTTTGTGTTACTTGAGGGCTGAAACTATGTTGAATTGAACAGTTCATGCGTTGTGAGTGAGTGAGGATTTGTATGAATAATGCACATGTCTAACTTGTGATGTCTAGAACTTGCCTGGTTGGTTTCTTAGTGTGACTCTCAGGTTAATGATTGGATATTGAAATGATCTTAGGCTCTCCTAGTGATTACTAGCTAGTTTTGCCTAAATTGACCTCCCTAGTACATAAATTACACTAGTTACTCCCTTTGAGCCTGTAACCTTTCATTGGCTACCACATTACAAACCTTTACCCTTTCTGTGAAGTAATTCCTTCTTTTGAACTCATCCCTCCTTGAACATATGAGATTGAGGCTTAGAGCCTAAGTTGGGGGTACAGTTATAAAGTGGAAATTGGCAAGTTTTGCTACTCTGTGTATATAAAAAAAATAAAAAAGAAAAGAAGCAATAACCTCAAAGTTGTGTAGATAATGAAATGCAAGCTCCAAAAAAAGAGAAAATAAAAAGAAAAAGAAAAGAAAAGAACATAAGAGAAAAAGAGAGGAGTATTGTCAAAACTTGAAGAAATACTTTGAGGTGGTTCTAGGTCGGTAACCCGAGGGAAATAAAGGTTATGTAGTAAAAGAGCATAATATATGTAGAGTTCAAGGAGGGTATAACCACTACATTCCTAAATAGTCATCCAACCTGTCTTGAAGCCTATATTATAACCCGTGAAAAGTCCTTAGTGATATACGGTCAATCATTCCTGAGATAGCAACAAAGTTAAAATAAGGTCAAGCATATGGACTGATACTTATAACATGTAGCTTTCGTTCCGAGTGTTAGAGTGTTTTGATTGCATCCCCTGTATATATATGTGAGTGGGGATTTTCTTTGTTGTGAGTGCGCATGAATTGTAAGACTTAGCAAAAGATAGGTTCTTGAAGTAGAACACAAGTTCACTTCACTGTGAATAGCATTTTGTCATTTTGGTCGAGGCTCTAAGGTTACGAATTGATTAGTCGAATGATTGAATGATAAGTTGTTTTCTAGGAAGGGTAAATAAATGGGTTCACATGCTTGTTAGTTGTCAGCCAAAACCATCTATAGTCACTACTGTTTTGTGGATTGTTGGAAATAAAAGTAGTATGTTTAGGATAGTTTTGTTTTAGTTGCTTGAGGGCAAACAAGAGTTTAAGTTGGGGGTGTTGATGTGCCGTGGAATTTCGGCACAATTGGTACCAATTGCTTAGATTTTAACTTGTCTTTTAATGCATTTGTAGTTAATTCTGATCAAGTTTGGTTATTTTGTAGTGCACGAGCTTGAATACCCGAAAACATGGAAAAGAAATCAAAAAGTCACAAAAAGACGGATATGCTGCAAGTATGTGGTTGCATAACTCATATGCGAACCGCATAATCTACCTGCTGATTGCAAATAGAGACAATCTTTTGGGCCAACTTAAGAAGCAAATATGCGGTCCATTATGGGTGTCGCATAACACATATGTGAGCCGCATAATGGTTGCATAACCACCATAGAATGCAACCCTCAGCATGATATACGATGGTATATGTGGTCGCATAACACATATACGGACCGCATAACCATTATACGACTTAAGCTAGATCAGGGATTCAACAAGTGTGCGACGGAGTGCTCAATATGCGGTCCACATAACTGGTATGTGACCAGTATGCGATCACATATGCTGTCTGAAGGGGTATTTTTGTCCGATTTTGACTACGACTTTTAGTCCACTATAAAGAGAATAACTAGGGTTTTTATGGGGTATTCAAGTTTGAAAGAAGGTCCTACTTAGAGAGCATTGAATACTCNTTGATATTTATTCAATTCTTGTTCTTTATTTATGGTTGGTGGTTGCAAACATTAATCTATTCCAGTTTACTCTTTCGTTACTTGGAAAAGTGAGTTAGGGTTTAGTAGAATTGAATATCAAGAACTCAAGACATTACCTCTTGTTTAATAGAATCGCTTAGGAATAAGTGGGTTCTACTTGGCATAAATTTATTGTTCTTAATTTGCAACTCTTTTATATTTGGAAAAATCATAAAGGGAAATACTACTCAACTATTGGAAAGTATTGGATAGTCATTTAGAAATCATTTGCATATCAAAGAACC